TTTGCATTGCGCGGCCACGCGGCGGTTCTTAACTTTCCGGTAGAGGTAGTTTACGAGTCGTTGAAGCAGATGCAGTATGGTTTTGAAGAGGGTTGCTCTCCGGTTTTAGTGATGAAGAAACGACACTCCATGAACAGGAGAAATGCACTGAGCAAAAAGAGAAGTCAAGTTTTGATGGGCTTGGATGATGATAATAATAATAATGTATTGGTTTTGGAAGATTTAGGCACTGACTATTTGGAGGAGCTCCTCGGCGCATCCGAAAGTACATCTTCTTCTTGTCCTTGGCGTCATCAATGATTATGGCTAGACAGGGACTGAACTTTTTTTTAAGTATGATTTAAATATTCATTCCCGCTTCTTTTAGCGTTGGATTAAATCTTCTCTAGATGTATTATCTTATCTAAATAGAAGAAGATGGTACTCAAGTGGCAATTGGAACACCCATTGGAACCTTCGCACATTCATGTTAAAATATAAAATTGGCAATTTCCAAACATGAACTCAAATTTCGGAAGTTGGTGGGTACGATGAACTCCACCACTAAATCCGAGAGTGCTTCTGGTCCTTCGTAAGCATGAGCATGTCTGGGCAGGGGATAAAAATTTATGCATCTTTCAAATACTCATTCCTTTTCTTTTACTATAGGATTAAATATTTTTCTGTACTTGTTGCAGAGGTGAAAATGGCACTAAAAGTTTTGTAAGTTATATGGAGAATTAGTTTGTGCTGGCATCTTTTTAATTCTTTATGTTAGTTGAACTTTGAAAAGACCTCTCCATATGCAAGTGACTCTATATGTTTTCCCTACCGCCAAATAGTTGAAAAGTAAAAGGCTGATTAGCAGATAGTACAAAGCCAAGGACCAACTCCAACGTGCAAAACGACGTGGCATCCTTGTCTGACCTGGAAATTAGCAAAATAATTCTTTGAACTCCATGTTCCTCCTAACCTTTCTCCTTATCTGCTATTTATTGGCTCTGGTCGCCACAGACACCACACCCTTCTCCCAGAACCATCACAAACGCAAGGAATTGATGCATCAAGAAGTAGAACCATCTGATGAGGCAGGGAGGTCGTGGGATAGGATGATTAATCTTGATTAGTAGTTGGCTACATAAGCAGCTACGTTTCTGTATTTGTTAGTTAACAACTAATTGTGCTGAGGCGGCAAAAACAATTACCAATTGGACAGCTACCAAGAAGGAATCGTGAATATGAAATTAGTCAGTTTTTGACTTGTTGACTCTTTCACAGTATCTCTGTATTCTCTCTAATTCATTTCGATACAATTCACCATTCTACCTCGAGAATTGTTCTCCATTATTCATCAATTCTCTGGGGTTTGGTTCAAAGATCTTCACTGTCTTCTTGCATCAGGAATTTACATAATACAAAAAGTACTGGAAATCTATAAATGAACACGAGATATGGCGGCAAACGGAGCTATAGCGACTCAAAAGTATCTAAAATGGTATGCTCTACTTTTGTTCATTTTCTTGTACGCGTCATGATAGAAGCTCTAAGTTCTTCGATTTTTCTCTGTATCTTGGTATTTTGGCATATCAACTTAGCGTTTTATTCTTGGGATGGGTAGTGCGCTTCTTTGGGTTATGGTTGTGGTGGTGTTCTTTTTATCTGTTCATTGGTTGTTGTTTTGGTGTAGTTCCTTGGTTATTTGTTGTTTTGGGAGGAACAGAGTTCTTGTATTTGGGTAGCGGGAGAGTCCTTGCATGAAGGAGACAACTCTGTTGATTTCAGAGTCTTCGGGTAGGGAGGATGAAAGTCAGGGGAATTTAGCAAGGGGTTGGGAGCTACCCAAAATGGTTCTTGTACGAACGGTGCATGCCAAAGTTCCACTGCAGGAAGCCATGTTCTGCCGCAGTCGCTATGCGTGGAATATTGCACGAACCAGGGGACGCTTGGCCCTGTTTGTTCCTGGTATGGAGAATCCTCCTGAATCCTTATTCATTTATACACCGGACAGTTACCAAGATGGTGGTGTTAGTTCCTGGACCAGGCATGCCATACCCTACCCCGCAGGTTTTGATGGTTCATCTGTATTTGGTATCCTCCTTGTGGGCAACTTGCCGATTGGCCACTGCAGGATGGTTTTTTTTTTTTTTTTTTTTTAACAGTTTTCATCATATAGATGAAGTTATTAGTTCGTGAAGTGGCATGGAGTACTGGCAAAGGATCTAAAATAGTCGTCTTCTCGTTGAAAATACTGCTTTGTAGGAACTGTACAACATTTTCCTTTTCTCTATTTTTGATATAGAAAGCTGAAATAGATGTTTCTAGTGCACAAGGGATCTAGTGATATTCTCGTCTCTGCTAATGTACTTGAAGCAGTTCAACTACACCGCACAAGCACTTGAAAGTTGTCTCAGCTTTATCATCTTTCTTGATTGATTGAGCGAATTTCTTGATACATGATTATATTGATTGAACTCAATTGTCCATACAAATTGAGTTCATTGATCCTACATACTACAATCTCCTGTAAGATTAAATTTTGGAAGTTAATCTTATGATTCTCACCTGCTCATCCGGTACTTTTATCACCCAACCATGGTTAACAATATCGGCAGATTTTAATACGACTCCGCCAAATCTTAACTGGAACGAAAGTGACCGGTACGATATTGATTCTTGCATCGCGGATAATACTTTATATCTGCGACAACTCGTTCTAACTCGACCGATATTGGTCGATTTAAATCCGTGATACGTGATATTGACTAATGTATCCGAGTTAACTCAGAGTCGACTAGGATATTTTTTTAGATTATACCTTTTTTGATATTTTCTAATTTTAGTAATTTTTTCCAAATTTTTTAAACATTTTTATATGTTATAATATGCGTATTATCCGATATTCAACTGATACGCAATGACGGATGTGGAATAACAGCAACCATGACGCTATTGCAACCCGCGAGGACCGAAGGAAGGCATCTTACATTGAAATCTGATTATGGTGTGCAAGTGCTATCCTTGTTGACACGTCGAGGTGTGGAAGCTTTTCCCTCCAGAACTACCAGAAGTATAGAAATCACCTCCGAAACTAATTCGACTGGCGTTGTAATTATTACGAGCAAGTCCGGTTACTCCCAGCAGTAGCATAATCAGTATTCGGAAAAAGGGTTAGCTCAGACTCCTCCAATCGAAAAATGCCCATAATACCCGTTGGTATCTTATCAGGTAGTTGGTTCATCTATAATCACAAGTAAATAAAAGAAGGGGAAGCGTAGCAGTAGGCTTTTTGAGAGTTGTGAGACTTGAAAACTTACATATCTATCTTTCATTGTCTTCTGTGTACGATGACATTCATACGTTGCTTTCTAGCCAAGACCGACCAGAAGTTCTTAATTTCTTAATACTGCTAGGATTTTTATTTGTTCTTAAATCTAGCTAGGATCTAATTAGTTGTTTGATTATTGATACCCTGTCTGTTAGGGGCATCATTGACTTAAACCCCATCATCTTTCAAGCAAATAACTTGTAAAGCGTGGAGTTAATTTACTGATGTACTTGAATTCCTTGCAATCTCTGCAAATTCTAGTGATATACTATCTGTTTTTTGAGATGTTACTGTACGAATCAAAATAAAGCATCAAATAATATGAAATTAGTTTCTTCGACCATTGCTATAATCATAATCGAGTAGAGGGGTAATTAATTATTGTAACAAGTATCTAAGGATGACAATAGGGGTGGGTGGCCCGCGGGGGAAATTCCCCCCCCCGCTTAGAATCCCCCACCCAGCCACCCGCTTTAAAAAGATAAATATATAAAATATATATGTATATAAGTATATATATAATAGATAATTTAATTAGTTACAAACTTATGATAATGATATTATTAGTTATATGTATTATATAATGTATATTAGTACATGTAATATAATTGATATTATCAATTATACTAATAATTATATGTGTACTAATACAAATTATTAATTAGTTATACTAAATTTACTAATACATTTATACTAAATTCCTAATTACACTTAATACAATAACATTTTTTCTAAAAAAAAAAATACAAGCACGATAGTGAATTAGTGATTGTATTTGTGCCAAAAGTAAAAACTTAACTACTTTAGTTGTATTTATTTCATCATATTTGATTATATTCAAATAATTTTTGTTTGATTGTTTTTATAAGTTTCAATTGTAAAATTACAATGAATAATAATTTGGTGATATGTTGATATTTTAATACTTGATTATTTGTTAAAATTTAATTATAATAAAATTATATAACAAATTTTTATTAACCCTGCGAGAGTACCCGTAGGGGAAGCGGGGCAGGGCAGGGGGAGCGAGGAATGAGGAAGGGGTCCCTGCCCCAACCCCGCTCTGTTGCCATTCTTACAAATATCCAACAGTCCTTGTTACTCCTCATTTTTGTGACCCTGACCATAGTTTCTTCAGAACAGGATCTACTTCACCATGTGAATCGAGCAACAAACAACGGAATGGTGAAGGATAAGCAGAATGTGCGCCAAATCTTTTGAAATTACCGCCATGAATAAACGCAAATTTCTTGGTCTAATGTACAAAGGCAGAACTTGTTTTGGTAGGTAAGATTTTATTCGGCAAATTACACTTTACCCCCTATGATAAAGCTAATTTTTACATAACCTCCCTCTAGTTTTAAAAACTATATATAATTCTCTCATAGTTTGGATTAAAGTGTCAAAATGACGGAAATGATCATTCGTAACGGAACCTATTAAAATATCGAAATTATCCTTATTTAAAAACTAAAATGGCTTAAGTAACTAAAATATATAAACATAATATGTATGACAATAACTCTCTGTGGTTGACAAATAATTTTTTAACTTTACATAAGGATATTTTTGACATTCTAGTTGACTCCGTTATGGATTACAAATTCCGTCACTTTGACACTTTAATTCAAAATATGAAGGGGTTATGCATAATTTTTGAAATCATAAGAAGATTATGTAATAAAATACTAAACCGTAGGAGGTCAAGTATAATTTGCCCATTTTATTAATACTCAAGAAAAATACAAAATAGAAAGGGCATACCCTTATCATAAACCGACCAACAAAGTCACAAAATTACAAGAGGACATTCCTCATGGTAAACATCCAACACCGCGACAAGATTAAATGTCATACACAGTAAACAGACTCACTCAATACTCATACAACGTGTGTAACATGTATGACACCCCACCGTTGACAAATCATTTACGAAGGCAGAAACCTAATCAGCTGCAACACTAACTAACTAATTAGAAGGCGGCGGAGGTGGCTCAACACCTGTGCATGGTGATGGAGGAACCCCCATGTGCACTTCATGATTGGGCAGTGGAGGATAAAGTTTACTCGGCCATCCAATTATCCCTCCTGGTCCTAGCCTTGATGGCTCGAAACGGGCGGATGCGGCTTCCACCGATTTGCAAGATAGGGCCATTCTGATCTCTCTTGCTTCGACCATGTACATGTTCTTGTTTGCATTGCCGTCCAGAGCCACCCCAAGCACCAGCACAAACAGAAGCATGTAAGGAAGAGCGATATTCATTGCTGAAACTGATTAAGTTGCTGTGCTTATATGCAAGAGCCTTCAGGACCTTAGACTCTTTAAGTCCAGTTTCCTGTTGTATTTATAAGAGTGGAAGGCCTGATTTAGGCTTCACAAACACTACCATTCTTTCCAAATACCGGTGTTCTGGATTTTAGCAGGGCAGACTGAATTGAAGTAAACGGTAACCTAACTAGTAGGTGAGTCAACTGCGCGTTTTTGTAGTTCACATGATGGCCTTCTTTTGGTATTCCACAGAGTTATCCGAATTTTATTTCTACAAGTTGATTGTGGAAACTTTAAAATTATCCGAATTTTAAAGTTTAAAATGTCCAAGAAAAAAAAAGGAAGTCTACATGTATATTGGGGCGTATTTTGTATTAATAATTACATTTTAATCAACTAATAGTGCGCATAATTATTGTTGGTATTTTTAATCACACCTTTTTAATAATTTTTCTGCTACTTCCCAATTTGAATTTGCACGTAATTCTTGGCTGGTGATAATTTGGTGAGTCACGTTATCCAACATTCTAGGATTAAGCCCTCAATTGTCCTTCAATTGTCAAAATTTGAATCATTTGACCACTTTCACGAGAACACCGTGTCCATCAAGGAAGGCTCCCATGGCAAACTACTGGACAGGGTATGTAGTTATCAAGCGTTTGCTTAAAAAGAAAAAAAAAAAATCATCTCAGAAACATGCGTATTAAGATATTCTTGCATACAACGCTCAATTGCTTTCTTGTTGGCAAACATAATTGCAGGGGCAAAGACAGTTGTGAGAGACATCAAAAAGATTTAAGATGGAAAAGTAAAGTTTTATTTGCATCTGCTTTACGAGCAAAATATTGAAATAGTGAAAGGAAGATTTTTAAGCCTAGTGAAGCGAAGAAACGTACAACTGAAAACGTAGAACCTCGTTAGGAGGAAATGATCCGAAAATGAATGGGCTCGTTGAGCAACCTAATGTCATCTCGCGTCAAAACAAGAAGTAAAAACGAAAATCCTTGTCAAACACATTTGACAGCAACCAACTACAGAAAACCAAATGTGAATCTAGCAAAATAGAAAAGAAGAAACAAGGATGAAAGATAAGCAGAGCGTGTCCAAATCTTTTTCATTACTGTAGTCATTTCCTGGAAGTTTCTTAATCTAATGTACAAATGCAGAAACTTGGCTAATCCACTGATTAACTAATAAGCAGGCGGCGGCGGAGGTGGCGGCTGTGGCACAGCGCCAATACATGGTGGTGACGGAGGAGCTCCCATGTGCACACGACGGTTGGGCAGGGGAGGAAAAGGGTTTCTCGGCCATCCATTTACTCTTTCTGGTTCTAGCCTTGATGGCTTGTAACGAGCGGCGGCGGCGGCGGCCGTATTACAAGACAGCGCCATTCTGATCTCGCTTGCTTCAACCACATACTTATTGTTGTTTGGATTTGTACTATCCAGAGCCAAACCATGCACAAGCACAAGTAGGAGTATGTAAGGAATCAGAGCACCCATTGCTGAATTAACTTGCAATCTGCAAAGAGTCTCTTCAGTCTTGAGTCCTAGCTTCTTGTTCAATTAAATACTCCAACAAATAAGAGTACAGGAGGTGAAAGGCCTAATTTGGAATATTCTAATTTCATTTAGCAAGGGGGGTGTTGATTGACTCGAGCTGGCTCCGCAGGATTAATTGAAGTAAACTTGGGAAGTAGGTGAGTCAACTACGCGTTTTTATACTCTCACATGCGGCCTTCTTTCTGGATTAATTATTTGCAAATAATAAAGTGTATCCAAACGCACCCTTAAGGATCCACCACCATAGACGAAGATGGTTCGTAATTATAGAGATATATGCAATCCTTGTTCTTTTGGCGGCAATTAAAGAATGCAAAACTATACAAATAAGATTCATCCTTAAGACTTGTTGTATACATTGAAAATTCATCCATGTAGAAATATAAACGAAGCTTTTTTACGGTTTGACTTCTATAAAGTGAAAATTCGTTCATGTAAAAGTATAAACCAAGCTTTTATGGATTGTTGTGTTAAGTTAGCGGCCATGTGTTATTAATCTATTGGTTACTACAATAAATTGCATTGTGGGTTTGTAAGATTGGCCGCATGGGATCCAATCCCGTAATGTTAGTAGTAGACGATTAGTAGCACACTGCCGCAGGGTTGCTAAGAAGCTAGTAGTAGTAGCCTCGCTGTTTTGTTTTTTCATTTGTAACAATAAAATAAACGTTCCTCACAACCTGGAACCAAAGGATAAAATGAGAGACTCGCACTAATTAGATTTTATTACTCATGCCACGTAAAGATTACAAGGTAAATCGGCCCCTCTTGTCATATTCTTTATTTGCAATTACCATTTTATTTTTTTGGGTTCCTGGCAAATATTTGGCTGCACAAGTAGCCTTGTTATTTGGCTGCTAACAAGAGGAGGAAACCCACATAATGCATCGAGGGAAATACTTCAGTAGACTCAGATTTAGGAAACCATATCCAGCATCCGGTGATCATTAGTTTTCTTAATCATGGCATGGGAGTCGGGCAAATCGTACTCCCGTGGGAACATTTTCTCGAGGTGGTCTCCATGGCTGGGGGCATGGGAGCACAGGAACTCCCACACGACTAGGGTTGTTGGGCACAGGCACTACCACTGGAGTAGGGTTATTGGGCACAGGCACCACAACTGGCGTAGGGTTGTTGGTGGCCGGTGGTCTCCTCGGTAAACCACCGGGGTATGGGTAAGTGCAATCATCTCCCCATGCACCAACTGGGCACGTGATAGGCCTGCCTTCACAATCAGAAGCAAGATCAACTGCAAGCAGGAATGACACCACTGCAATCACACAGGAAGAAGAATAAGACTTCATTGCCTGCTTAGTGATAATCACTTCGATCAATTGACAATTCTGTATCGAGTGCATGCTAATTGAACTATTGCTGTGCCTATATAGAAGTATGGAACAACGAAGGAAGTTGACTTTGAAATCACATGATGCATTACAACCTTAATTACTTCGGAAATAGGCAGAGTTTAACGACTCTCAAGGCATGCAAATTGTGTTCTTGTTATCCTAGTGAGCAGACAGTGCAATGAGGTTTATATGAGCGCGCCGTCGTTACGTGGTGCATTACATTTCGATCTATAAGAGCATGTATCTACTTTCTTTTATAAGACCGGAAAATTTTAGGAAGTTTAAGGTCCAGATTCGGGAGAAATATACATTCATCCGGAAACATCAAAATGAGATAGTAACATGCACATTGAGTAGAGTGGCTCCTGATACAAAGACTGCTAGTGTCGTAGAGTGAAGCAGTTTCCTTACTACTAGTCATATTATTATATGTTTAGAAAGTGACTTCCAAGATTCAAAGTAATTTATATTCGCATTCCATTTTACCCTTCGGCCACTCCAATTTACTTAATAAATAACATGCCTTCAAGGGGTGTTGAAGCTAATTGAAGAGTCCAAATATCACCTCCCAATTTATTTCTAAATTAATTGCAGGGCACATGTATGCAAATTATTATGATCCCACCTTCTTATTCCAAGTCAGACATTCAAGGAAATCAAGATTCAAGCTCAAATGCTTGATTGGATTACTAACTTAGAGAGTCATATTGGATGGCTCTTTTTTGGAGTTTTTATAAAATAAAAAAAAACATATTATATTAATTTGATGTAGGTGAGAAAAAAAATGTAATTGAAAAACGTGTTCATGGAAAACATAAAATATTTTTTGCTTTTGTAGAAAACTCCAATTCAGGCACCACCTATTAAGGAAAAGACTTGACATTTTGTTGGTCACCTTACAAAAATAATTGAACTTGACAGAAAGTAATCTTAACTCTTAAGCACATGAAATTTAGTCCACTTTCAATGCCAAAAAACATGTGTACCGGAGTAATCCATGTAATTGACTAGGTCAGGTGTTTACTAAAAGCAAGCTTGCTTGCATACTTCAAAAGTTGACTTTCAATTACCGCCAAACATCTTAGCTGGCATACTAAATTTCAACTTCCTAGGTCAACCTCCCTCGTGAAGTGTGGCGGATGGGGATGTGAATGCTACTCATGAAGTCAACAATCCACCCAAAGCTTGTCATCCAAGATTTTCTACATCCCAATAGTAATCTGATAGCTAATGATTCCAAAATTACTGCTTCAACTCCTCAAGTTAACTTGTTCAATAATGCAGGCTCTTGGTTACCTACTGCTAGTTTTGCTTGTGCATGGTATGGCTGTGGAGAATAGAAACACAAATAATAGTTATTTGGTGAAAGCAAGAGAGATAAGAGAAGTCGTATCTTGTCACAAAGTGGCATCGTCCTACGCTGTTTACGAGCCATCCAGGGTAGAACCGGGACGAGGATGGCCGACTAGTAAGCCTCCTCCCCTGCCCAACCCTCCCACGCACATGGATGTTCCTGCTGCACCTTGTATACGTGTTCTACAACCGCCTCCGCCTCCGAGTTACTAAAGTTAATCTTCAGCAGTTATACATTGACATATTTTTTTCTTTCTGAAAAATGTCATTGAACTTAATTGTAAGAAGATGTCATTAGATTTCGCATACTCTTCACTATTCTTTCCCTGTTTTGGGCTTTGCATTTGGAAGTTTATGTCCTTTTCCTCCTTGAAAAGAGTACTAGCTGAATCCACTTGGGTACTTCATATGTCGGGTGTGTTTATCTCTAATTTACACATTTTACTAATTAATGCTGGCAAAGTTCTAAACATATTACTGATAGTAATAAGAGTTCTCAAGAAACTAGCAGTTCTTTCGATGTCTCATTTTTGCGAATTGCAATTCTTTCACGAATCTGGACCCTGGAGTTGGAGCGGAAACTCCCTAGATTTTTCCGGGCATGTAGATATATATAATACATCTTTTTTTTGTTGAACGAAATGCACCGCATAACTACTGCTCAGATGAACCTCGCTTGATTGCCTCCTGATTAATTTTATCAAGAAAGTACTAATTTGAATGTCTTGAAAGTCATTGCGTTGATCCGTCTAGTTGAGAAGTAATTACGCTTGAAACCATGTGATGATGTTCAAAGTCAACTTATTTCGTTATCCTATATAAACGCAGCAGTGCTTCAGTTTAACATGCACTCAATACTGAATCATCAATTTTATCGAAGTGATTATCACTAATTAAGCAAGAAATGAAGCTTTCATCTTCCTTTCTAATCGCAGTGGTGTTATTCCTAGTCGTAGTTAATCTTGCTTCCATGTGTGACGCCAGGCCTATGTGCCCAATGGATGCCGAGGGAGATGATTGCTACGGTATACCAAGGAGAAACCCAGTCCCCGGCAACCCTCCTCCACCTCCAGTTGTGGTGCCCGTGCCAAATAACCCTCCTCCTCCTCCGCCGGCGGTGGTAGTACCAGTGCCCCACAAGCCGGGTTTTGTGGGTCCCGTGGACCCATGCCCCCAGCCGTGGAGACCACCTCAACGCCATTTTCCTTACCCGAGATACCCATACCCATGCAACTAAGATTGTGACTCTGGATGGTTTCCTTTATCCGAGTCTTATCCAAAGTATTTCCCATTATCGCTATGTGATTTTCCTCTTATTAATTAGCAGCCAGATAATAAATAACGGCGCGTACGTTTGGCAGAATAAAGAAAACCCGGGAAAAAAGAAGCACAAAAAAAAAAAAAAAAAAACTGCCCAATCTATGCTGTGATCTTGGTTTGTCTGGTCAATGACGTGTAGTATCTAATGGCTTTGAATTTAATCTTTGTTTCCTGATGATTTGTTAGGATCTGGTTTTTGCACGAACAATTATGCTTTGTCCACCCTCCCTCAAGAAATCCAGCAATACGACCATGCATATGCTACAGAAAACACCGTAGGCCAATGGTTTTGGAAATCTATGCAATGTCGTCGCGCAGTATTCAACTGACAAAATTAATGAACTATAAGTTATGCAATGTCGAAGTAATGGAAATTTTTTTGATAAAAAGTAAATTTTATTAATCAACTGTTAAAAATTATTCACCACAATTCGATTTATATCATTGTCCTAATAGTAGCTAGGCTAAACATGCACTTAAAAATAATAGATTAGATTTGAAAATTTTTTTGAACAGATCCAAAATTGAATTAATAGAATATAAGCTGTGGAAAAGGAAAAAGTCTTTGTTGATTCACATATTTTTGGTTTTCCTTAAAGTAACTTGTGCTCAACTACTTACCTATCATAACTCCTAGCTCCTAAGTCCTAACTCGATTGCGTCCACTCTTTTAACGTTCGTTACCGACAATTCAATATTGTTCGTCTCGTAACTTCACTGAGAGACAATCCTCTATTTTCTTTATTTTGTAACTTAAAACAAGCAAGCAATAGCATTGTTGCGTTTTTTTTTTTTATCATCCTAAAACCCAAAAAAAAAAAAAAATGTCCTAAGAGCATAATTTAGCTTGAGCATAATGTTGGGATTTCATTAACTTAAAGAAAGCCTTTTTTCTCTCCAAAAAGGAATAAGTTGGAAAGGGAAAACATCGAGCGTCCACATTTGGAAGCTTGAAAGGTTAGCTTGCTAAGGTAAGAAAGGCAAAAAAGGGGAAGAAAAAAAAGAGAGAATAAGTGAAGCAGATGAAAGGTGTATCATATACTCCTTCCGTCCCATTTTGATAGTTCTGAATTTTTTTTCACACAGTTCAAGAAAAAGTAGTTAACTTTGTTGGAACAATCAATTTAGGTAACTATTTTTCTAAAATACCCTCACATTAATTAGAGTACAACTTTTATGGGAACTTGAATTGATGGTAAAAAAAGAATCAACTCTCATTAAATGAGATAAATTTATAATAACAATAATTTACATTGAATAAGGGTATTTTAAAAAAATTAAAATACAACTATATTTTTCAGTTGGAAAGTGGATTACAATTTGGGACAGACGAAAAAGGAAAACAGGACTATCAAAGTAGGACGGAGAGAGCATGTAATAGAACCTGGCCGCTAAGGCACCAACTATAATTTTTTGTTCGTATTGGCAATGAGATTGATGGGTGAAGGTGACCTTAGGCACAGAGTGCTGAGTAGATCAGCACAATTCGCCAATTTCTTGCTAGCTAAGACAGAATTTGTACGTGGTTAGTCAATTTTGTTCTGCAAATAGGAAGATCTCAACTTTACTGTATGCCTGTTTGGAAGGTGAGTTTTCTAGGAGTTTGTCTAAAACTTTACTGTAACTTACTGTAGAAATTTTTTTTAAAAAATTTTTGAAATAAGTAGATTTTTGAATATTTTGAAGTGTATAGTTTAAAAACTTTGAAAATTTTTTTGAAGTTACTGTAGCTAAAGTTTTTAAAAAACTTATAACAAACAAACTGGACAAAAAATCTGAATTCCAAACAAGATAGGATGGTGGGAGGCCATTAAACTTGCCATTTAATTGTGATTGTCACTCTCAAATAATTTTTTTTTATGAAATTTTCATCGACTCTCTTAAATTAAGATAGAATAGGTTCTATAACTATTATCATTATAACAAAAAAAAAAAAAAAAAAACCTAAACAAGAAAAGGTTGGATGTCATTCAAATGTAGATTTGTTTTCCAATTTTGATGGGACATGACATTTTTCAGGATTAGTAGTCTTGTCATTGACAAGTGCTGTGTTACCTTTTCTACGGGTTCAATGATAAGTAGGTATGGCAATTGGGTTCGATGCGGGGGCTAATGATGCGGGTGGTGGGGTAGGGCAAAAGGAATTTTTTTCCCTTCATTTAGAAATGGGTGGGGATAGGGCCTCGTCACCCGTTAAAAAAATTAATAAATTTAATTAATTATAAATTTATAATAATAATATTATTAGTTATATATATTATACAATGAATATTAATATATTTATTATAATTGATATTATCAATTATACTAATAATTATACATGTCTACCAATAGAAATTATTAATTAATTATATTAAATTTACTAATAATTTATACTAAATTTCTAATTACATTTAATACAATAATACTTTTTTCTTAAAAGAGCCACAATAATGACTAAGTAATTATATTTGTGTCAAAAGTAAAAATTTAACTACTTTAGTTGTATTTGTTTCATCATGTTGAATTGTATTCAAATAACTTTTGTTTGATTGTTTTTATGGATTTCAATTGTGAAATTACAATGGATAATAATTCGATGATGTGTTGATATTTTAATACTTGATTACTTATTAAAATTCTATTATAATAAAATTATACAACACATTTTTTATTAACCCGTGAGGACACCCGCGAGGGGGAGCAGGAAGCGAGGTCGAGAGGAATTAGTAGGTTGCAAGGCAGGGGGTGGGAGAGGGGTCGCCCGCCCCAATCCCAACTCGATGCCATTCCTAATGACAAGCGTTAGCTTTTATAGGCTAATTCCTTAAAATATTAATGATTTAAATGGTTAAGTAATGTTTTGATTTCCCTATGTCTTTTATCATATGTCAGTTGTTTCCCAAACCAGTAAAATACATGTCATATGTGGAAAGAATTGCTGAAAAAAGAAAGAAAGAAAGATAAAATTAATTAATTAATTAAACATACTACCTTCTTACCATTAAGTGCACTCCACTTAAAAGAATTGCTAAAAATACATGCCATATGTGGAACAATTTACACATGATGACGACAGAAAGTGATGTGATACACATGTTTGAATAGTCAAAATTGGAAACAAAATTCCTCAAAAGTAAAAAAAAAGGAGAAAGTGTTGCGAATGAATTTGTTTTGAGTCCTCAGACCTCAGAGCAATTAATAAAGTCCACACAGTTTAAGCGCGTAAAAAATTTTGTGTGTTTGGATTGCCAAATTAATTGTATTTGGATTGCTAAATTGTTCCAAATAATATTTCGCTTGCACCATAAACACATTTCTCAATTCACCTTTTTATCTTTCCAACTACTTTTTTATCTCACATACATCACATCACAAAAAGTGTTACAGTAATCATTCCAAATAATATTTCAAATAATACTCTGTCCAAACACAATACACTTGGCACGGGGAAGTTAGCGCTGAAACAACTTGGCAGGACAATATTCAACTTCAGATAAAACTTTGAGGGGCCCAAATTGTAATTTTCACGAAAGTTTAAGAAGAGTTGCGCAGTTCTTCTTGTTCTTTCTGTGGCTCGTATCGGCTGCATTTTGATTTGGGACTTATTTGACGAAAACCGAAAGATAAACAAGCACAAGTTTATTCAAATCGAAATCACACCCAAAACAAAAACATCAAAATGTAAGCAAAAGGAAATCGCCAACCATTGGAATATGCATGGGGTACCTACTACGTTACGCGTCTTTATACATGCATGGATGATCTAGGACATTGGCATTTCACCTATAATTGCAGCAATTGGACTCCTGACGGAGACCTTTGTGGAAGCCCAAGTAATAGATCCCTGAGATGCTGTATTATTAGCTGCAGTTGGCAATTGACTGAATATGACCTGATATGTCAGCTTCTGTTTCACCTCGGAGAAACGCAGAGTCTTGGGTTTGACTATAACCTCGACACCTTCAGGGGGAACAACCTTAACCGTGTAAACCGATTTGGCCTCTCCAACATTAGTAACCGTCCTTGTGTAACGTTGAATAGGTGATCCAAATTGGATAGAGAATGAAGGGTAGTTCAATTGTGCTTCAGGGATGCTTGATTCTTCGGTGCAATTCACTCTACGTTGTAAAATGTAAAGAAGCCCCCTTCTGGTGTAATTCAAGCCACACAAATAAGGCACGTAATCTTTTGGCTCAATGTCGTAGATTAGACCTGGATTGTTTGCTCTTGATGGATTCACGTGGCCCGAACCTATCGCAAAAATGTTTGCCGGAAGAAGCCTTTCGTCCTCGATTGGATTCTTGGCAAGGTTCACCAGATCAGCTGTGGTCATGATCGCCGACTTAATTGCAGCTGGAGACCAATCAGGGTGCGCGCTTTTGAGCAGGGCAGCTACGCCACTGAGGTGAGGGCAAGACATTGAGGTGCCGGAGAGCATGTTGAATGTGGACTTGGTATTTGTGTTGTTTTCAACGGATTGAGGCCAAGCAGCAAGAATGTTTACACCAGGGCCAATTATATCCGGCTTCAAAATTCCAGGGCTTGCCATGCTAGGACCTCTGGAAGAAAATGAAGCAACCACTGGAGCATGATCGTCTCCAATAATAGTTCCTTTGAATGAAATCGCAGCCACTGGTGATTCTGTTGAGTTGATGTAGCTCAGGACCTTAACTCCGTCAGCATAACTTAAATGTGTCGCCGGGAGGACGTGAGCATCAGCAAAAGTGGTGTAACCTTGGTTCTGTCCATTTATGATAATCATGCCAACGCCACCGGCAGCCTTGACATTTTCTCCTTTTTGAACATCTGATATGCCAACACCATAATCACAGACCACAATTTTCCCCCGGACCTTAGAGCTATTCAGAGCTGATGAGAAGCAATATGCAGATAAAATATCGCTTGCATTCCAGCCAGCATAGTACAAGGGAAACGGAGTTGAAAGAAAATGCTTAGGATTATAAAGAGATTCGCCATCAAACTCCTCCTTGTTCCCGAGCAAAGCAGTAGCTACTATTTTTCTGTCGATGGTGCTTGCACCAACCGTAAGTATCCAGGGGGCTTCATTTTCTAAAGACTGATTGAAAGGACCGCCATTTCCGGCTGAGCAGCTGACCAAAATGCCCTTTTCCATTGCAGTATAAGCACCAAGTGCGACGCTGTCTGTATAAAATGGTTTTGAACTTCCTCCAAGAGACAGGGAAAGAATATCCACCCCATCATGGATAGCCGCATCCATAGCAGCCAATATGGCACTTTCAGGGCAAATATCTACGCATACAACACCTTGGCAAACAATTATGCATACTTTGTACATTGCCAAGTGAGCCAGAGGTGCGATACCGGCAGCAGTTCCATTAGCATTTCTAAGCACATTAGCGCCTTGGACAAAGTTTCCTGCAGCTGTGCTTGCTGTGTGAGTGCCGTGGCCAACCTCATCTAATGCGGAATCGCTAAATTCTTGGTTGAAATTCCTTGCTCCAATTAATTTGTTATTGCAAGCTGAGGAATTAAATTCACACTTTCCCTTCCATTTAGCAGGTGGTGGAGGCATTCCTTCATCGCTAAATGAAGGGTGGTCTGGCCTTATTCCGGTGTCCATGACTCCAATAATCACACCGTTTCCATAATTTGAATCCTTCCAGAAGCCCATACCCGGATGCAACCCCAGGAAACTAGGAGTGTGGGTCGTATGTAGAGATAGCATCTCCTGGGGACTAGCTGATAAGAATCCAGGCTTCTTTTCCATTTCTTTCACGTCTTCAGCTGATAATTTAGCTGCAAATCCTCTGAAAACATTGTGATAGGAATAAAGCATCCGTGGTGCTTCATTTGATGAGCTTGAGATAGTGGTTGTCGGCAGGAAAGATTTGTACCAATTTTCTAAATCATCATTATTTGGGCTTGCACTTGCGCTGGAAAGCTGAGTATCTGTAGGCAATTCAACATGCACGATGTAAGTCTGTACGGTGCTTTCCTGCTCATGCAATCCTTTAGCAGCTATCGAAAGAAAACTGATAACAAAAAGCAGAATGAGAATCTGCATGAATCCCATGTTTGACGATGGTTTAGTAAGTGAACAGTAAGTTTGCTCGATTGAATTAGCAATTACTACTGTTACGCAAGAGGAAGAATGTACCAAGTTAAATAGGGATTAGAGGTGATTAACTTGGTTGCGGAGCTTGAGTTAAAAGGTGGAGTATATATAGGCATGATAGCGGTATCCATCTCAAAATTTTCAATTACTAAATTTTGCGGTCTCATTCATTTATCTGGAGAAAGTTATTTAAAGACCCTGTGATTTTGAAGAATCAGTTCTTCGTCCTTAACAAAGTCATCTTTTTTCGGTCAGATAATACAAGCATAAATTACATTTTGCAGCCACATTCAAGCGCCAAACTTCCAGTAATAATCTATTGATTAATGAAACGACTAAGACCCTGAATGGAATTTTCCAACTAATGCTGTTAATAATCTTTCTGGATCGAGTTATATATTCAAAGTTTTGCCTTGAACAACAATATTTGCATAATTGGCAAACGACTCTTTGGCCAGATGTCATGAGTTCCTTTGACTGAAAATTTTGGCCATGTCTCATTCTCCATTAGTTTGAGGCAGTATTCGGCAGGGTCGGGTTCTTAATTATTAATATTTACAGGCAATGGATGGTCTGTTTAGTTTTCATTGGTAAAATGGGAAGTGATCCACACATATGACCTCCTTTAAAGCAGTAAAGAATCTGTCAAAAGGAGTGTCATAACATGAGGTTGATCACAATTAATAAAATGATGGTAGGATCAATTTGTATAATATGTGGAAATTATTGTTCAGCCTACAGAAGCCTTGCTCTCCTTGGAGCAGTTGAAGAGACGAGGACATAATTATAACCCAAAGTTCCTTATTCATGCGTACTTTTCCTCAAAAGGATATTCTCTTTTACAAAAAAGAAGACAATAACTTCTTGTAATTGAGATGAGATCAATAAGTAAAATCTTAACTTAGATCACAATTTCTATCCCCTCCTAATTTCTTAAATCCAACCTCTCCCCTGCTGTTAAAATAACGGCAATTCACAACTCCTAGGCACAATCTGAGTGGTATCCTACATATAGTTAACTGATAAATGCCTCCCCTACACATAAATTTCTAAGTCTGAATATCAATATGTTAAGCCAGTAAAATTCAACGTCGTTGCAAAGGAAAATTGCGCATCAAAAGACTCTTTCAAATTTACTCTTCTCTTAAAAAAAAGGAAAAAAAAAAAAAAAGACTTAACGTTTCATTAAAAGAAGTACTTTTAAAAGACTCTCCAGATTGGCTCGACTAATTCTCCTGTGACCCAAGAGGGGAGGCTCTATCCCCTCGAACAAGTAGCCTCAGGCAAGACTTGAAATCTGGTAAGCGTGGGATGAGCTAATTCAGAGAGGGCAAGATTGATGGTTCTTTTTAGCCCTTTTTATTCTAATTTATTTTGCAGGGTTGAAACATGACCGCTTCTATTATTTTTTAAAGTGATGATTTAAGAACTCTTGCTTCTGCGGCATCTTAATTTGTTCCTTCTAGTTGATCCATTAAACTCGATGTTCACTCTGAGACAAAATTGGAGAGTTATGAATGCATGACTCGAACCATTGGAGGGCTTCGTTGAATCGTTCCTCCTTCTGGAATATTCAATGGAGCGATTGCACGCTCTCCTTCTATTGATGCACTAGGGAAACTATATATTGATCCTTGACAGAACATCCCGCATTGGCGGCATGAGAAAATAATGCATTGTGGTTTAACAGTTCTCCATACCTGTTGTTTTCAGATGACAAGAAAACTGCCCTTCCCCAGTTGAAAATTTTTATCATTGAGGCGAGATCAAGAAGTAATATCTTAACTTAGATTACAATTCCAATTCCCACTCAGTTTTTTGAATTCGATCAACCCTTCCCCTGCTGAAACTTTGTATGTGCAAGGATTTCCCAATTCCATACCCATTGTTTTAGCAGGACTAAATCAATGAGCACAGTAACTGTATAACAAGAAACCTAAAACCAATATATGATAAAGCTGCGCTTGCTTCTTTGAATTCGGATATTACCTAAAAATGGATTGTGTGCGACAGTTCCAATCTAAAGATCCAAATAGGTTAGAAAGAAAATGGGGTGGAATTGGATGGACCTAAATTGGCCAAGAAGTGCAGGTACTGGGTCACGTTTTCAGGTGGAAGAACAATTCCACGCAAGATATTATGCAGGTCATCTTTTTTATCAAATTGCATGGATACTTAACCAATGGAACTAAAAGCATACTCTTAATTAAGTGTAAAAGTGCTCTTTTGAGCATTGACTTTTCATCAATATTCCTTTTTTTATTTGACGAAATCCTTTTACAACACTAGCAAGGCCTAGTCTGTTAAGTTTAAGGGAAAAAATAAAACACAAGCCGCTTTAATGAGGAGGACAAAGGAATAAAGAACAAAATACACAATGAGGAATGTCGTGCAATTTTTCCTCGGAAAGGAAAAGGAAAAATCCGCCACAAAACTTGAAAAAAGGAATATCAACTGACAAATACGAATTCTGCAAGGAAATAATTAAGATTAAAATGCTAATTAACTCAAGGACGTGAGTGTTTCAATTTTTATTGGAAATTAAGAAAGGCACGGGGAGACCAAAGCAGTAACAGAAGCTTCATGGTTTTATTTGAAGCAGAACATGGCTACACTAATACTACTATTACATTGGTCCAAGCAATTGGTAGCACAACTGAACAGGTGGTGGAGAAAGAAACTGGATACATATATATTTCTGACTGTTCCAACATGCATTAACAATTTAACATGGTGGTGGTGGTGGCGGTGCTTGTGGCGGCAGTGGTGGTCGAGGTGGTGGACTCTTGAAAAAATGAGGAGAGTTATTGATCACCGGAGGTTGTGGCGAAAGCCCAGGTCTCCTGGTTCGCAGTGCTGCCCTGAAATCATAGGGAGACAGAGGATCATCGGAAAAAGAAGTAGAAGCTGGTGCATGAAACCCTGAGAGGGATTCTTCTAAAACTCTTGCTGCTGCCACGGCGACGTAGGCTTTGTTCACGCATCCCTGTTGAATCCACAGGATTTCATGGATCAAAAGCAAGCTAAGCAGAAAATGATAAACTTTCTTCATGGATGGAGAAAACAAACTTTTGAGTATTGAATTGAAAAGGCCAGTAAATAATCATCGGGAAAAGGACATCGATCGTAGTTCTATGAGTTTGAGAAGAAGAAAGTGTTGCCTCATATAATATGTCGGTTGGTTCCCAAACCAGTAAGCGGTTAGATTGATAAATGTTCTAATTCGTCTAACATAGTAGGTGGGAAGCAGCTAGGAACCTCTGACACATTCAACATATTCCAGTGATGACTGGGCTGACTCGTCTCGGACTAGTCGAGTCTTTGAATATTTGCCCTCGCAATTGGAGAAGAAGCGCCGCCTATGTATCCATTATCTAACCCTGCCAGTTCGGTTCGTATATGATCATCAGACATACTAGTCTGTCTTCATCTTGAACTGAAGCTTTTGGCCGTTGATATTTGGTTGGTTAAAGTCGCGAAGGAAGGCCAAAAATCGCTAATGTTTTTCCAAGATGTGTACCAGCAATAAGTTTCCAATTAATGGGTCCATACTTCTAGTGGTGCGGCATTAAATTTGCATGCTAATTAGAATTGAGATGAAGTGCTAATTAGACATGATAACATTTCGAGTCAAAATTCATGCAGACCAATAGATAATCATGCTCTGTAATCTTGAAAACCGTCTGCATGAAATTTTGGAGTACATGTTTCTTCATAAGAATTGCAACTTGAAAGATTACGCCACAGCGAGGAGCAATTTTCTTCGATAAAGACTACAATAACGCAACTTATCTATTTCTGTTTTAAATTCTAACCATTCAAATTGACTTAATTTGGATTACAAGCCGCCCCGAAAATGATAATGATATTCCAAAGCAAGAAGTGACCTCCCCGTCGTCTAGTTCTCACTCTTCTACCTACTCACCGAGCTTCGACCAAAAGGGAGAGGATGATGAATATTCCGCAAATCACCTGACTAGGATGTTCCTGTACTAGGTGAGTACGTTTGTGATAAACTCCATACATAGGTAACCACCTCAAATGGACCTGTGATTGTGAGAAAACCAAACGTGTAAAGAACAATTGAAGCCACCAGTGATAGGATGACAAATGCATGCATAAAAATGTTTAGCAGATATAAAAGGATGACCAGGATTACGGGGCTTTGGGGTTGGCGGCGGCGGCAGAGGATCTCTTATAGACACCGCAGCCACCGAAATACATCGGGGAGCATTTCCAAGGCAGGACAGCCCCTGCCCAAGTAGTAATTACCTAGCATAGCCTGTTCATATATCAAAAAAAAAAAAAAAGGAACGTGAACAAAGACACAAATGTGAGCTTCATTTTTCAACTTCTTGTTCAAACTTCTATGTAGATAGCTATGCGAAGTCCGCATTTTGCAATGGATGGTCTGTTTTCTTTTCATTGGTAAAATAGGAAGTGATCCACGTATATGACCCCATTTAAGGCAGTAAAGAATCTGTCAAAAGGAGTGTCATAACATGAGGTTGATCACAATTAATAAAATGATGGTAGGATCAATTTGTATAATATGTGGAAATTATTGTTCAGCCTACAGAAGCCTTGCTCTCCTTGGAGCAGTTGAAGAGACGAGGACATAATTATAACCCAAAGTTCCTTATTCATGTGTACTTTTCCTCAAAAGGATATTCTCTTTTACAAAAAAGAAGACAATAACTTCTTGTAATTGAGATGAGATCAAAAAGTAAAATCTTAACTTAGATCACAATTTCTATCCCCTCCTAATTTCTTAAATCCAACCTCTCCCCTGCTGTTAAAATAACGGCAATTCACAACTCCTAGGCACAATCTGGGTGGTATCCTACATATAGTTAACTGATAAATGCCTCCCCTACACATAAATTTCTAAGTCTGAATATCAATATGTTTAGCCAGTAAAATTCAACGTCGTTGCAAAGGAAAATTGCGCATCAAAA